TAGCCTGATTTTTTCAACAAGAATTGCAAGTCGTTCAATGCAGGATGCAGCCTTAACATGCATATCCTTTAGCAGTTCTCAGTGGTTTCAGGACAGAAGATGATGTGATTTCTTTTCCTATGCCAGTTGCATTACTTCAAACAATCCAGATTTTAACTAAAAAGGGACGTGTCTACACATGGTTATTTAATGCAGGTTAGCCCAATTTAAGCCACATTAAGGGTGTATGTCTACACATGTGTGCCCTTAATGTGGCTTAAAAATGGCGATTTTAGGCTATGTGAGCCTAAATTTGATACCTGCCCAAACCAAGTATCAAATTTAAGCAGGATTGGTTAACGCAGATTTAACAAATGTGTAGATGCGTTACTCCAATTAACACAGGGAATAGTCCTAGGTCTGCTCAACCATTAAGGGGCTGGCTAAAGCCCAGCACCAGGGCTTCTAGCTGGCCATCTCTCCTCCCCCATGCCTGGACTGTTCTCTATATAGTTTGCCACTTGTACATGGCTTTTTTATTGTTGGTAGGTGGGGAGGGTGGTGGAGGTGCGCTGTTTGTTGCTGGGGGAGGAATGGGGGTAGGTGTTGTGAGAGTAGTAAAGTTTTTTTGTTTGAAGCATGTGAATGCTTTGAGAGTGGTGCTGGGGGTGGCAGGCCAGGTGGGCTGGAGCAGGGAGTGCAGGAGGAAGGGATCAGCCAGGGCCTCCCACAGCTGGTGCCCTGACCCCGGCTGGCAGGTGCATGGCTGTCCTGGATTCTGGGCATGGGGCTGCCTGCTGGGGCCAGGCACCCCACTGGTCGTCACTGGCAAGGGCCAGGCTGGAGCAGCGGGGTGCTGGGTGTCACTGGCAGGGGCAGTCCGGGTGCAGGAAGGCAGGGTGGGCAAGGAGGGAGCTACCGCATGCTGCTGGGCACCTGGCTCCTGGGCAGGAAAGGGGCTGACCAGGGATTAGAGGGCAGGGGTATGTTTCCAAGACAGCTTCCAAATGTTGGCATCTGGCTCTTTCTTCAGCATGGCTGCCAAGTGCTGGCGTCCTTGAGTCCAGAAGCTGGAGCTGCCCCCGGTGGCCACAGGGGCACTTGGCAAGGTGAAGTGACTTGGGACTAAAGTTAGTCACAAATTCCACCACATGGAGACACCTGCCAAAACCATCTTAATCTGCATTAGATTAATGCACACTGAATTTAAGCCAGTTTAAATTTACGTGTGGTTACACCCAACATGAACCAGAGATTTGAGAGAGCTATGGAATACATCTTTTTGTTCAGCTGTTTGCTAGACAGACTTCTCTAATTTATTGAGAAATTGGAAGTATAACTAGCCTATATGCCCTGTGCACAGATACTTTCAAGTTAGGTATTATATTTATGATCTTTTTTGAACAATTGTTCTATACAGAATTTTAAGTGATAGCTTCTGGCTGACTAGGAAGCAGGAAGGTTAACTGATTTATATTGACATTTGCAGGCTGCTTTCCTAGCAAAGAAAAGTCTATGTTTAACATGTCAGTAAAAAAGATTTAAATTGACAAATTAACCCAAAAACTAGACATCTGTTAAAAAGAACCAGCAACCTCAGCTTGTATTATAATAAAAGAAATCTTTAAGATATTGCTTCATTGGTACCTCAGGGCAATCAGGTTAAAAATATATCAGGCTTGAATACTGCAGAACACTGGAAGTATGGGAATGGAAATTGTATATGTATATGGTGAACATGTCTAATCACTGGAGAATATTGGGGTGCAATATGTAACCAAATATTACAGGTTGTCAGGTATGTATTCCCAAGTGATCCTTTGGTACTACTCTTATAGCTGTCATGTTGCTGATAAGTGATAGTCTTCTTGGAAAGAGAAAAATAACCCAAAATTAGGGAAATGTTTCCCAAGAATACAGAAGATATACAAGAAAATTAAATCTTTCAGTTATGCTACAAAACACACTGAAGATGAGTAGATACTTAAATTGTTGGAATGAATGGATAGTTACTATGTAATGAATGCTCAAAATACATTTGCCTGCAAAAAAAGGGCATACACATACAGTGTTTTTGATAATAGCATTTCATACTTATGCTTGGTTTGAGGAATATTGATAGGATCAGCGGTTTCACTCAAATTTAATAAAATCAACTTGGTGGCATGAAGAAGTTCTTGCTGTAGTATGGTTACATCCTGTTCAATAGGGACATTTGATGATTATGCAACTCCATGTTGTTTTTTCTAAACAAAATAATGTTTGTCAATGCATGTTAATGATTTATTCTAATATATTAATGTCAATGATATGTAAACCTGATAAAAATTATAAGAAAATAGTTGTTTATAAAAGGACAAAACCATTAAGGACTTAATTATCAGCTTTCCAAGTAGAAATTTCAAATTATGGAGACTTGAACAGGGGGAAAAAGCCAGCTGCTTAAGAAACACTTCTCTGTGGTTGAAAAAAATTAATTTTTCAACTCCTGCGTTGATGACTGCCTGTAGAGTGAAATGCACTTTAAGTGCTCCTTCACATACCTTCTAATGTACACCAGTATAGAAGTGCTGGCACAAAAGAATACTACCTTGGCACTGTATTGTGGAATATGGAAGCTTTAAATATTTGATTTGTATTTCAAATATGGCATATGCTGGTAGTGGTCAAAGGTTTTTATCACCTTTATCACTGTTACTGACTGAGAGCATTTATTAGTTATCTGATCAAAATAGACTTTGACTTCCATGGGTTTGGTATTGGATCTTAAAAAAATAATGAACAGAAAACAAGGGGTAGTGGCTTTTTATTGACCAGGTTAGGAAATACATTCCATTGACAGGAACCAACAGGAAAGAAAGTGCTGAGCTAATCTTGGAAGAAACAAACAGATCAACTAATTTTACTGTATTGATTTATTAGTTCTCTACCTAGTGATTCTGTGTAGCCATCCTGCCCTTGCATTCCATCCTCTGTGGAATAAATGTGTTATTCATATTCATGTTACCTCAGTCCATCCTATCTTGATACAGCTTCCCTCTTCCTTCTTGGAGTTTTGTATGAAATTAGTTTTTCAGCTCCACAGGGCAGGTCTATCATGTCTTTTTATATGAATTGGAATTTAGGTAGTATTAAAGTAAAAATAATAGTCTTTGTTCACAGGTCTGTTCATGGTGAAAAGGTGTACATGTCTCAAAAACCATCACAACAAGGGGAAAATAACATGACAGCATGATAAAAGTCCTGAAACTTAATTGGTCACAAAGCTTGAATGTTCCTCTCATCTCAAAAAATAGTGTGTAGACTTCAGAACTGAGAAAGGTAAGGTAGTAGTGAGGCAGAGCATGTCTACACCATACAATACAATGCTATGTAGCTTGGGTACCAAAAGCAATCTAGCTGCTTTAGTGTGGAGCTCTGGCTGCTAAGTAATAAATTTGCCAGGGCAGAGCTACACATTTACATGGCTATATGCTTCTGGTTGCCTCATTGACTTCTTGCTGTGTGTACAGAAGTGCTCTTTGCATGTTTTACAGTGCTGTAATTTAGAGTACTTTCTATAGCATTATAGAATACAGCACAGTGCTTTTAAACATGACAGAAGTGCAATGTCAGGTGTGGGGGTGGTTCTGAGCCTCCCTGCACTTCAGGCTAGGAGACATGGGGTGCTCTGCAGTCTCCTGGGGCTTCACCACTGATCTGAAATTTGACCAGCGTACAGAAGTTACTTAAGAGCACAGACAGAAGTGTAGCTCCCTGCTATAACCGAGAATGCTTTGCAGAAAGTGTTCTGAGTTATGATCCCCCAGACCAAAAAGAAGTTCACTCTTGGTTCTAGGGGGGAGGGGAATGCAGCTGCTGTCTGTCAGCCTGTAGCCAGTTTCTCCTAACAATGGCCCCTCCTCCCTGCCTGCTCCCTGGCACTGTTTTCAAATGGGAGGGGGGAGAAGGGAGCAGAGGGAGCTCAATCTAGGGGTTCTTCAGCCAGTGCTGGAGCATGGGGTGCTCCAGTACACATGCCCCACCTTCCAGCAGTGGCTGAAAAAATCCCAGACCAAAGTCCCTCCACTCCCTTTCCCCCTTCCTATTCTGAAAACAGCAACAGGCTGGGAGGCAGCATAGACACAAGTTACAAAAGATGCTCTGGTTTGAAATGTCTTCATCTGAACACCCAAGTGGCCATTTTTAAGCAGTCTGCAGCCATGCACATATGTTTGGTTATGGCTATAGACCACTTTCTGTAGCCAGATTGGGTGAAAATTGTCACTTCTGTCTGCGTCCTAAAGCACAGTAGGTTGCTAAAGTACTGTAAAATACAGTGCATCAAATTTAATACCTCATTTAACAAGAGTTAATTTAAAGGACCATACCCATTTTTAAAGTGCCATAAAACTGCATTTCTGTTAAGCTATGGCAATAAAGTGCTTTAAATGGCAAAAAAAGGAACTTCTGTACATACCTTTAGAGAGAGCTCAGGTATCTATATATGACACTGCATTGTTCACTGTAGATATACCTAGAGAGGGAAGAAAGCTTTGCACTACCACAGCCTATATTGTACAGTACATGTATGCATAATTAGAGGTCTTCATCTTCCAAGGCATTCAGGCACATTTCAACATAGAGTTTACTAGAAACACTTTTAAATTGATGGAGCTGTCCAAGTAAAATTGTGACAAGCACTAAAATAGTTAAACTCATCCATGCCCAAAAAAATAAATAAATAAATCTTGGAATCCAATATTTAGTGACAGTTGAAGTAAAAAATAAAACCATAGTGATGATAATTTCTGCTTGGTTCACCTACTTTTTACCTTTCAGGCTAGTCAAGTACACCTTGCTTCTAATGCTTGTTTTGAATTCTTACGGGAGATTTTTTGTTTGGATAGTGACAGAAAAGTTTTCTGAACTACTAAAATGCCAAGATGGCTTTATTTGTCTCTGATCTAGCAGCAACAGAATTAACACAGTCCATACTTTGTGTTATTGATTTTGAGAATATTTTCTTCTCCCAATTTCAGGTTGGGTGGGACTATATCTGCATACAAGATAGTGCCAGACGAAATAGAAGAAATCAAGGTATAGTATTACTACTGTCTTTCAACACTCTGGAGTGTTTTGTTGGAGAGAATACCCAGCTTGTTACAAGAAAAAGGCAACCCTTGTTTTGTGCTTTGAAATGCACAGAGTATGTATGGTCTTCATTTTATACCCTATCTAATAAATACTGAAAATAGTAAAAAAAAAAATCATCTTAAATATTGAATAACCAACTTAACCAACTATCTAGAGCAGTCTCTGAAATTAAAGAACGGCATGAAGATAAAAATGAACCTTTTGTCTTTCCCATACACTTCTAAAGTCCCCTTTTCTATTTAAGCCCTAACTACTAATTATGTTGAATATGTTCATTTAGCTGTATCTCTATAGGGCCAATTTTTTTTAATCAACCTAAAGGAATCTAAGTACCGCAGTCACATTTTCCCCTTCAGTTTTTCATTTGACACCTTTATTTGAAACGTTTGGGACCTTTTATCATAGAGTCAGTATTAATCCAAGGTTATGGCCAAACTTTGCACAGCCCAGTGTCTATTTAGATTCTTGAATCTAAGTTTAGAAACCTAAAATAAACCTAGCCTGATTTTCAGAGGTGCTGATTACCTTTAGCTCCCATTCACTTCGTTAGGTTTTATTGATGTCCAGCAGTCATGTAATTTAAGTCTCAGGATGGATTCAGGAATGTAACTGTAGACATCTAACTTTGAAAAGATTTATCTGTTTTAAACTTTTACAATTATGTAATCTGGTGTTCACATTTGTTCTGAAATCAAAAGTACATTTAGGTTTAGCAGTGCTTTCTTTTTATCTTAAAAAGAGGTAGATGGAAAAAGTGGGCACACAAAGAAACTCCAAAAATTCTTTGATTCCATGGATGACAGTTTTTCAATTAACAGGTTGTAGCAGAATTCGGTTAAACCAAATACACTCAAGGAAAAAAAATATAGCAATTTGTGTTATTTCTTGTTCAATGGACTGATGTAGATTTACCCTAGGTTAGAATATGGACATAGCTCTTAGCAGTGCCTGTGTAACTGGTGTTGTAATGATATCTTGTGAGACTTAAAATAAGAAACAATCAACTTGACTATCCCATTGCCTTTCACCACTTATTGTTATTTAGGGTTGTACAAAATGAGTTAAAAATGGCTACAAAAACTGATAAATCAAATAATTAGATTGTATAACCATTTGAGCCAGTTATGACTTCACAGTGTGCAAAAGCATTAAAATATCAGGCATTCTAGACGAAGTTCATACTTAATGTAATAAAATACAACTTTGCTGCAATTGTACCTTCTCACACGATAGCAGAATCTGTTTGCCACCACTAAAAAACCTAAGCTTCTCCCTTCTTTGAAAATTAGTATCATATTTCATATTCTCAAAAAAGAAACATGAATTGCAAATCTGAGAAATGATTAAATTTTTTTTCATGAGATTTGGAAAATAGCACCATTTTTTTTAAAATTCATAAACTCCTTCAATTTTGGAAACCCAAGCAGTGGCATTTTGCCAGTGTATGAGAAATGGAAAGTGAAACTGACTTGCCAGATCTCACTGGGTAAAATAAGTGAAATGGAAAAAGAAATAAGAAAGCAAATCAGTTGTATATGTTCAGTTTCAGTGTAAGAACAAAAGGTGCACTTTAAATTTTTTGCTCTTGAAACCTGCTAAAAGGCTGTAGATAGAATTAATTAGTGAAACATTTCCGACTGAAACACGTTTAAAAGCATTTCTTAAAGGAAACCTTTTAGTCAGGGATACATCCCTGCACAGTTCCTGGCCGGAACATTTAGAAACAGAACAGCCTCCTTTTATGCCAACCAGTGGGTGCTAGAGAAGCATGCAGTGACCTGGGGCTCTGTACTTCACTCTCTCTTCCCTCCCCTCACAGGAATAGGAGGTAGAGCAGAGAGGTTGGGTGGGAGGGGGCTCCCTAATCACACTGCTAAAAATCTGACACTCTGGCTCCAATACCCTCTACCTCTCTTCTCCCCCTCTTAGGGAAATGGAGAGGCAGAGAGGACTGTAGGTCCTGGAGTTGGCAGGTGTCTGGCAGGGGAGCAGCCGGATGTAAGCCCAACTCCAGGTGTTGCTTGGGTTGCAACCTGACAGCTCCCTGCCTCCCCTGCTGAGACATAGCAAAAAGTAGAATAGTGTCTCAGATAAAGAGGTCCTCTTTTGGAATGTTTCAGATGCTTTTAGAACAGGGTTTTCAACCTTTTTCAATAAGTATACCCCTGGTGGCCAGACATGGAGTGGCGGCAGCACAGGGTGGTAGGTGGTGGCTGCCGCATGCGAGCTTCCCCACTCCCCTCTGCGTCCAGCTGCCTGGGCAACGCCTGTGTGGCCCACTGCCCTCACTTCACCCCAGCCGTGGTCCTGGGAGGTGGCTGTGTGGGGTGGTGGGTGGCAGTGCTCCATCCCTGCCTGCCCGCGCATACCCCCTAGGGCCTTCCCAAGTACCCCAGGGGTCTGCATACCCCCGGTTGACAACCCCTGTTTTAAAGCATTTCAAAGGGGTTGTACTTGCATACAGCTGGTGTTTGAAATGTTTTAATTATTACATGTGTCCTCATTCAACAGACTGTTTTGGTCCACTTCTTTTCATCTCTTGATTACTCAACTACCTTGAGATTCCAGGGGGGAAGAAGTATGTTCTTCTTTCACCTCAGTACTGTCAGTGTAGCTGTATAAGAAAGAGTCCACTGCACTAAGCCAGTGACCTTCAGCTATTCTGAGCAGCTGAAGAAGATACATGCTTTTCTTCTCTCCAGTAACTGTCATCTCTTGTGTAGAAGCTGTTTCAGGGTTTGATGTTCACATAACATGCTCTGTGAGTTTATACTTGTGTGTATGTGTGTACAGTGTGTCTGTTATATGCTATATATTCATCTCTTTATGTACATTTAAAGCATGTGGTATGTCTATATGCAATATGTATTCAGAGTATGTATCTCTTCAGTACATGTATGTGTTGCTGCGTGATCAATTTGGGGCAAAACTCCCACTCCCAGGCAGCAAAAATTGTGATATTGTGCGACTAAGGTACCACAGATGACGCATGGAAACTAAGCTGTGTAGAGTAACCAGGGTATGTGATTATAATTACTTTGATAATAATCAAAGTGATTGTAAACATGATTTAATCAGCAAGCAGGAAGTTTGACTTAAATAATACATTTTAATCTTATTTGCATTTTTACTTTTTAATGCTTCTTTGGAGAATGTGTGTGTGTGTGTGTGTGTGTGCGCGCGTGCACGCGCGCGTGTTCCATTGTAGGGTTCACATGCAAACAAGAGGGTTCTGCCAAAAGTGTTTTCCAGGCCCACACATACTCTATATTTGCATTCAGTTCCAAGGGTATATTCAGTTCCAAAGGTACATGAAGTCCAGTGTGAGAGCACCTTTCACTCCAGTCCCTTCAAGTTGGCCTTGGTCTCAGGTGGAACACGAGAGTCTTCAGCTTCACTTAACTTATTCAGGTTCTTATTCTGTTTGTGTGTAGCTCTAAGCTCTTTAAGTTTTTTAAATATTAGTATATTAGTCATATGCAGTGAGACTAAAGGGGCTACGTATGTTCAGCTTGTGGAAAAGACACTGAAGAGGGACATGATAGAAGTCTTCAAATATCTGAAGAGCTTTCATAAAGAAAAGGAAAATCAAATTTTCTCTCTTGCTGCAGAGAGGAGGAAGGATGTAAACCAATAGCTTGAAGTTACAGCAAAGTAAGTTTAGTTGGTTATCCAGAAAACACCTCCTTCACTGTTAAAACAGTGAGGCAGTAAAATAGACTATATAGGGAAGTTGTGATGTTGTGCACTCTCCATCACTGGCGGTGTTCAAGAAGAGGGGTACAGCCACTGGTCAGGGGTGATCTAGATATAGCTATGCATATGTTCTGTTATGAATATTTCCTATGCTTCTGGGCTTCGCTGGTTGCCCCTTCACCTCCCATCCCTTTTTTGTTACATGTGTCAGGGTGTTTTTAAGCCTTCCTAGTGGCATTAGGAGTTGGCTACAGCCAAGGCTGGGGACTTTGACTGGGGTGTGCCAGTGCTGCTCTGGACCAAAGCCCCTATCTTAAATGTGCAGAATACACATAAGAAAATTATCAAAATGTTTTTACTTAAAATTAACAGCTTTATTAAGCAAAGGAAATATCTGTAGTTAGTGAATTAAACTGATGGATTCTGGTCGGCATGTCCTTCAGTATTTTAGAAATAGTACATCATACTTCATGTTTATACAGAAGAAGAGAACACTTCCCTGTTTTTTTTCACATCCAGACTGACTTCTTAGCCAGCACCCCGTGCTGCAACCGCTCACAGCCCATGTGGGGCTGCCTGTGCCTGCTCAGGACAACCCCGTGCGAGCTGCGAGTGGCTGCAGCAGGAGCGCGCTGTCTGGGGCGGGGGAGGGCTTTTCCCTGTGCTCAGCACCAGCTCATTCTCTGCTGGTGAGTGTGGGGTCAGGGCTGCACGCTGCCCTCAACCTGTACCATGGGGCTGAGGGGGGCACTGGGCGTGAAAAGGTACGGGAGCCAGTGGGAGCGTGAGGCCCACACTGGTGTCCCATCTTAGCTTTAAATGAGCTAAATTAGTTGAATAAACTGAAAAGGAAATATTCTGTCAACATGCAGAAGAAGCTACTGCACTCAGAACCTGGCTTAATACCTCAGCGAATGCCAGTTCCTGGTGTTTAGCCAGTGACTGGTACCACTTTCTCTAAAATTTTGCAACAGAATATACCTGAATATTTTTACATCTTTAAGCTATTTTAATATAGTATAGTAAATTTAATCCATAATTTAGGTTGTTGATTTCAATTTTAATTTTTAAATTATTGTATTTACTTACCTACCACAGGCACCTTTTTCCCAAAAATCAACCCGCCCTTAATGTTGTAAGCAGGCAAGGTGATTTTCTGCCTGTAATAGAAGCATCCTGCTTTGATTCCTGCTCTACCCACCAGCAGCAGTAGCATTTCTATTCAGGCAGTTTGAGGAGTCAGTTTA